TTCGGGGAAAGAGGTGGGTCGATGATGCATTTGCTGCCTTGTAAATTTTAATCTTATCCATTTCCAATTCCTATCTCTAAGTACCAACCAAGATTCTTTAGTTTCAATAGTCTTATGTTGTGTCCCGGGGACTCGAGTTCTTGGTTTATCATGTATATGTATGTAGTTTACGGGGTAAATTATTATAACCTTAAGCTACTGTCTTAGTTTCTGCTAGTTTTTTCCTTGATGGGATCCGGATTCTCTCGCTTTGAGATATAAAAATTATGGTAACTTAATTCATTTCAACCGTTAGATTTATAAAAATAAATTAGATTGTGACACACGTACATTATGTACAAAATATATTTTGACTTAAAAATACACATATACAAAAATATATTTTGACTTAAATGTACACGTGTCACAATTTGATCTATTATTACAAATTCAATAGTTTAAATGTGTTATGTTAAGTTATCCTAACTAGGCGATCTATTTCCGTATTTGATGTTGTACCACAGAAGAAAGAAAGCTTGTTTGTAATTGTATCAAGTTAACTTTCATTTGAAGTAAAGTTTAGTTGTTCAATTTTGTTTTAGTCCAAGACTTCTTTATATAAATTATATTATCCGTATAATAAAATTTTCAGTAATTTATATTTTTTTTTCTTTCCTTCATGTTAACCTCTTTATTTTAGTGTGTGTTTTCTTACAAAATTTATGAATAAATGTAATTTCTCTTATAAAATTTGTTACAGTAAGATGAATTGCCGAAACAGATGCATCAGGCTTGGCTTTCATATGGATTTTTTTTTGCTGATGATAAACACACTTCCACTCTCGTATAAATACACCCCCTTTTTAAAAAAATATATATAAAATGTCTAAATTACCCTTTAAAAAAAATGAAATTCCTCCCTCTCCCGCACCCCCTTCCCCGCACCCACACTCCACACCCCTCTTCTTCCCAAAGTCTCTTTCTGCTCAATGTCATTAAGTAATATATTTTTATAGTCATTCTGAATAAAAAAAAGGACTAGCCCCACTATAACCAGCATAAGAAAGACTCTTTTACAATCATTAGCATTCTGAAAAGTACTTTTATAGTCATTAGCATTCTTGAAAGTACTTTCCGGAATAGTAAAATTGTTGTTCATATAATTACGGAAAGAACTTTCCGTAATAGTAACTTTAATATTATAGAAAGTACTTTCCGGAATTATGTAACAAAACATTTCCAGAAAATACTTTCCGGAATAAGAATTTAATATTATGGAAAGTATTTTCCGGAACATTTTTATATAATTCCAGAAAGAACTTTCCGTAACAGTAAGAAGAAGAAGAGAAGTGCCAGAAAGAGAAAGAAGATGGGTGTGCGAGATGCGGGAAAAAAAAGAAGAAGAGGAGTGCCACAAAGAGAAAGAAGAGGGGTGCGCAATGTCAGCAGGTGGTCTTGTAAGAGAAAGACTCTTACTTGTTCTATGGAAAGAAACACTAGTACAAAAATGACTTTTAAAATTGGAGTTTTAAAATTAGTCATAAAGTAGCCATTTTAAAAGTGACGCAGTGGCCTGTACTGCAACAGAACGGCCCCAGAACGGCCCGTTCTGCAAGCAGAACGGCTCGTACTACTTTCAGAACAGGCCATACTGCTTGCAGAACGGCCCGTTCTGCTGTCGTTCTAGACTAAAGTTTACATGCTTATACAGGATAAGGGGGGTATGGGGAAGGGAGGTATAAATTTAGGAATTTCATTTTTTTAAAGGATAATTTAGACATTTTATATATTTTTTTTAAAAAAGGGAGTATGTTGATACGAGAATGAAGGTGTGTTTAACATCTGCCTTTTTTTTTCTTTTCTGATCTGGGGATATGTAGGAATTTTGGGATGATCGAGCCCAATCCATTTTGAATATAGATTGGAATAGATCTCTTGTTCTGCAACTTAGTTGGGTAATGATATCTAACGGGCTTCGTCTTCATGAAGCCCATATGATTGACAGTACTGATAAGAACGACTAGGAAAGCATTAGAATTGAGCAAAAACTTTTATTAAACATACCTCTATTTTTTTTAATGATATAGTTCTCATACTTTTTTACTTTTTGTTTCCTAAATAATTATTGGTTAAAATATATTTTTTGGGATATTTAGATTTACTTACTTTACCTTTTTACCTTTTTATCTATTAGTAATAGAATTAATGATTTACTTAAAATATTATTAAGTATATATATGAATATATATAAATTTTATTTATATAAAAATAGTAAATATATTATTTGATAGATGAATGAAATTTATAATTAATATTATTAATAATATAAATATTTTTTTATATATAAAATAGTAAAATATTTATTGTATGATACATAAATGAAACTTATAGTTCTATAATTTAAATACATTAATAATTATAAAATCATAAAATAGTAATAAATTATTAATATTATCAATATTATTAATATTATTAATATTAATAAGGTTGAGATACTTCATGTCTTTATTAAAGATAAAATAAAATTAAAAATTAAATAATACTTCAATTAATTTTAGGATCTTAATTTTGATAAAAATATTTTTTTTTAATTTTTTAAAATAAAAAAGTATAATAGTCAATAAAATGTGGAGACTAAGATAGTTATTGAAAAAAGTATCTTCTTTATATATTAGTATGGATTAATTTATTATTAATAATAAAAAAATAAAAACAATATAATGTATATTTTTTTATTTAATAATAATACATGTACGTGACAAAATTGTCATTTCCATTTATAAAATTTTGAGGAAAAAAAAGCAATTCTAATAAAATTTATAATAATGAGGTGACATTTTAAGATTTCATTTCCTAGTATCATAGCCAAAATGAATTCCTCTCATCATTTCTTCCAAAATTATGTTTCAATTTTTTTTTGTCATTTATAATTATCTCTCTCTCACTCACACACACACACACAAATAAATAAATAAATAAATAAATATATATATATATATATATATATACTCAATAATTCATGTTTTACATAAAATTTTTAACAATTAAATTATTGAATTAAAAATTTTTAATGTATAAATCAAGTCTAATTTTTTTAAAATTTTAAAATTATTTGATATTTTGTTTCATTCATTTAAATTAATCTATAAAATGTTTTTTTAATTATTCATCAATTTAAATAAAATAAAATAATTTTAAATTTTTTAAAAATCTGCAAACTTGATCTATATATTAAAAAAAATTAATTCAATGGTTGAATTATTAAAATTAAAATTTAATATAAAGTAATATGAGTTATTGAGTAAAGTAAGTCTATCATAGACTTACTGTTGAAATAAATGGATCATCCGCCACCATCTCCTTCATTTTTCATCATCTTTTGGAGTCTCCCTTGTTGAACCAAGATCAAGGGCGTGCATGGAACTAAGCCACCTTCCATCAAAAATACATTTTTAAAGTAACAATTTCTCTCCATTTTTCACCTATTTCACTCTACAAAATAACTATAAATTTCATACTATTTTCTACTTATTTTCTATTAAATCAATTTTCACATATTTTCTTTCACTCTCCTCAATTCTTTTCCCTCTTTCAAATAATACATAAGTATAATAACCAGGATAGATTGTTACAACTAATATACATTATCACAACAATGTCACCTCATGAATTCATGTGAATTATTATATTACTAGTTATGTCAACATTTATACTACCTTAATTTATCTGACAGAGAAGACTAAAATTATATAATTTTAAAATATAGGAGAAAAATAACATTAAAAGGAGAGATTAAAATTGTGGATTATAATTACAAGGGATCTAAAGTAAAATTTAATATTTATTATATTTATTAATTTATTAATGTTGGAAAAATATAAATACAAAAATAACATTGCAGAAGTTATCCGTATAAATAGTTATGCTCATCTATATGTTAATTTAAAAATAATTTTCTGTACAATTTAGTTTAATTTAGTAGCGGGTTTTAGAAGCAGGCGATAGCCCAGTGAGCCACAGCTCTAAAACCCTAAATTGAAATGGAACTTCAAATCCTTTGTTGCGCTCTTCCTTCTCAACCACTTGAATCCTCCATTCATCATCGTATACTATCAGTGAGTAAACCTTAACCCATTACCTGCAAATGAATTTCTATGTTACCATTCTATCTCTTCTCTGCTGGAACACTGTTCACTAACTTGTTACTGTTTAATAGCAGTCACGAGCGATTGGAACCTACGCTTCATTCAGAAATCAAAGACAAAGATTTCGGTTCGGAAACGCATCAAAATGTACGTTTTTTGCCCCCAACTCATTGTATGAGTACTGTTAGCTGGTTCAGAATAACACCAGAAAATAAAAAAAAAAATAAAAATTGTTGTTTGTAGAAGTTTGGGTCTCTGTTTACGCTAGAAAATTCAACAAATTGAATTTTCATTTCAGGTTTAAAATGGGTGATGAAAGAGCCTTCGCTGTCGGGGTTGAACAAATACCGAAGGCTTCTTATACGTGCTTCTGATTCCAATTTAAATGGTGGCTTGGAAGTTCATTCAAACCGAAGTTCTAGTGTGCCTGTTACTACGTTTAACGGGGTGGAACCATTTCATGGTAAATCAGGTTCTGTCTCTTTTTGTGGGTTGACACACCAATCGGTAGAAGAAGGGAAATTGGAATCTGCCCCCTTCGAATTAAAGGGTCGCACCTTCTTATGGGTACTAGCTCCTGCCGCGTTCGTAGCATCTTTGATTCTGCCACAGTTCTTTGAATTTTTTTTTTTAAATTTTAGCCCAATTTGTTGCTTAGGTTTTGCACTTGTGATGGCACAAAAATTAGGTCAAAAATATGTAGCATAGGAGCAAGACAAATGGCGCATCCTTAGAGGTTCTTTAAGGAAATTTTGAGTGGAATTGGTTTTGTACTATTTAGGTCAAGTTGTTTTAGCACAAAATATCCAGCACCTCTTAGATTCTTTTAGGGTTCTTGGAAAACAAGAAAGCAACTTAGACAAGTGAAAATGCAAGGGTAAAGATGGGCGGTTTTTCTAGCATGTGCAAGAAGGTTCACACATGGAAAATCATGGCAACATAGAACATGCTAGAAGCTATTAGCATGCATGAATGACCTAGATAGGAATTCTATATGACACGCCCACTTAAGATGTATGCATCATGGTATTTTTCATGTTTTCATGCAAGGTGTTTGGGCACATACATGGAAAATATGTAAGACAAAATATAGGAAGTAAAAATGACAAAACAATAGGTAGATTCAAAAAGAAAAATGCATGAACATGTAATACTCAACCTAGCATAGAAATATGACAACCTAACAATGGAACCTAAAACATGGAAGGTTCAAGGAAAACAAGTATGAACCACACAAAAA